AACCATTTATTCTATTTTGAAAATTGCAGAGTAGATTTTTAAAATATTCTCACCAAACAAATAAGGATGCTAGGTAACATGTTAATTAGCCCAATTTATCCATTCCACAATTTATAGATATTTGAAAACATACTATACAAATATATATATATATATATACTTTTTTTCCAAATGAGAACTAAATGAACTTTCTAAATTTTAAAAAAGAAAAAAGATAATCTTAAGTTTGTTGAGCTTAATAAATATAACTCATTATTTTACTAAGACTCAATAAATTATCCTTTTCTTTTAGGAAAAGTAAAAAATGATAAAAAGCATTTCAGTTTCACTGTGAGAAATGCTAGATAATTAAAATTAACTACCAAGGGACACTGAAGCCCACACCTACTATGGATAAAACTACTAGGTGAATTTTCATTTGCCCGAAAGGAAGCAGAGGAATGATTTTTTTAAGTGCATTTTTTTTTGTTTTTTCTTTTTGGCAATCAAACCCAGGATGTTTCACTTGCTAGGCAAGTGCTTTGCCACTAAGCTACATCCCAGCCCAAGGGGGATGTTTTTGTTTTGGTTGGTTGTGGGGCTTGAACTCTGTCCCTCAGCTCTTCAGCTCAAGACAAGTGCTCTACCACTTGAGTCACAGCACCACTTCAGTTTTTCTGGTGGTTTATTGGAGATGAGTCTCATAGATTTTCCTGTCTGGGTTGGCTTTGAACCACAATCCTCAGAGCTCAGCCTCCTGAGTAGCTAGGATTACAGGTGTGAGCCACTGGAGCCCCGCTAAAGGGGGATGATTTTAACGACCTCTATAAACCCTAATTCTATCCATTACTGTTATGCTCAAGTCGCAGAAAAGTTGTTTAAATCAAAATGTTTGACCAGAAACACAAAAGCAAATGAGTGCAAGTATAAATTACCTTTAGAAAAACTTACATCTTAATAAAATTTATTGCTATAAAAACATTTAGAAGTCCTTTGGAGCTTCATTAATACTTTACCTTTTTAAAATTATCATCTCTTCTTTTTGAGATACTTTTCATGATGATTCTTTCATTTATACTTTCTAGGTAAATAAGAAATATTCTTAAAAATCATGATAAAGAAGACTATTACAAGAATTGAGATATAAAGTATGGTAGGAAAGATTTGTAATTTAACTAAAAATAAAACAAAGAAATAATCACGTTTAGTACTTAATATTTAGTGTGTATTCAGCCTTAGTATATAATAAAAATTCTGGTGAATGTACGACAACATACAAAAGGAGTAAGGTATAATTATTGAGAGGGAAAAATGTTTTATTTGTGGATGTTAGGTTTAATCTAAAAAAATTCGACTTAATAAAAAAGTTGTTAAGTGACAGTATAAGTAAATACATCGTGTGTGTGTGTGTGTGCGCGCACACACACACACACACACACACGCACGTGCATGTGCATGTGCATGCGTGCCAGTCCTGGTACTTGAACTCAGGGTCTGGGTGCTATCCCAGAGCCTCTTTTTTACTAAAAGCTAGCACTCTAATTGAGCTACAGTACCACTTACAGCTTTTTTGGAGTAGTTTACTGGAGACAAGAGTCTCATGGACTTTCTTGCCTGGGCTGATTTTGAATGATGATCCTCAGATTTCAGCCTCCTGAGTAGCTAGGATTATCAACATGAGCCACCAGTGCCTGGCACATACCTTTTTTTTTTTTTAATATGATGTGATCATGGAAAAAATCACTTCCAAACTGCAAGTTTGCAATCATTCCTTCTCCTCCTCTCTCTCTCCTGTATATTTTTGCAATATTGAAGGATGAACTCAAGGGCTTCTTGCCAGACAGGTGCTCTTCCACTTGAACTCCAACTCCAACACATTTTGCTTTTTAGTTACTTTTTTATATATGGTCTTAAGGTTTTTGCTCATGGCTGGCATTATACCATCATCTTTCTAGCTATGCTTCCCACATAGCAGAGACTAAAGGTCTGTAACATCATACTTATTCATTGAGATTGGGAGTCTTTTTGCTGGGGCTAGCGTCAAACTATCATCCTTTCCAAGTAGCTGGGGTTACAGATGTGAAACCAGCTTACAACAGCAATTAAAAAAAATTTCAAAATACTGAGAAATTATCTCACAGCACTTTCCCCTCCAAACTACAAACTTTACAGTGAATAAGGGAAAAAAAGGATCTGATTAAAAATAGAGATACAACCTGGTGCAGATGGCTCATGCCTATAATCCTAGATACTCAGGAGGCTGAGATCTGAGGATTATAGTCCAAGGCCAGTCTGGTAGGAAAGTCTGTGAGATTCTTACCTCCAATTAACCAACAAAAAGTTGAAAGTGGATCTGTGATTCAAGTGGTAGAGTGCTAACTTTTGTTGTTGTTGTTGTTGGTCATGGGGCTTGAACTCTGGGTCTGGGTGCTGTCCCTGAGCATTCCAGCTCAAGGCAAGCGCTCTGCCACTTAAGCCACAGCGCCACTTCTGGTTTTCTGGTGGTTTGTTAGAGATAAGGTTTCATTGACTTTCCTGCTCAGGCTGGCTTTGAACTGCAATTCTCGGGTTTTGTGGCAGTATATTGGAGTTAAGAGTCTCATGAACATTCGTGCCCAGACTGGCTTTGAACCGCAATCCTCAGATCTCAGCCCTCCTGAGTACCTAGGATTACAGGCGTGAGCCACCAGCACCCAGCTAATGTTTGCCTTTTCTTAACATTTAGAAATCTCTAGGTCCTGCTAATTATCTAGTAACCCTTTCTACTATGATGAAATTGAAATTTCCTAAAGTCGATTTGATGTTGTATGCAAATTTAACATCCAAATAGAAATGTATCACTTGCAAAGTGATATATCAATGTGAAATATCAAAAAGCCAGGTATTGGTTTGGAGTTTTAGAAATATTTGAGGAACAGAAATTAAAGCCAAGGGGGAGGGGAACTGGGGAGGAGGGTAAGTGGGAGAAAATGAGGTAAGGGGTCACTGTGTTGACAAGAACTGTATACATTAACTTACTTTTATAACTGCAATCCCTCTGTACAATAAAATAAAATTTAAAAAGGTTTTATAAAAAAGAAAGGGCTGGGAATGTGGCTTAGTGGTAGAATGCTTGCCTAGCATTCATTAAGTCCTGAGTTTGATCCCTCAGTACCACATAAACAGAAAAGACCAGAAGTGGTGCTGTGGCTCAAGTGGTAGAGTGCTAGCCTTGAGCAAAGGCAGCTTAGGGACAGCCCAGGCCCAGAGTTCAAGCCCCAGGACTGGCAGATAAGGAAGGAATGAAGGAAGGAGGGAGGTAGGGAAGGAGGGAAAGAAGGGAAGGAAGAAAAAGGAGAGAGAGGAGAGAAAGGAGAGAAAGAAAGAGAAGAGAGAAAAAGAAAAAAGGAAAGAAAGAAGGAAGGAAAAGCTAAAAAAAATATGGTTAAGTTGAAGACTGACTTATGCAGGTAATCCAACTCAAGCAGGCAGAGGTTGGGAGGATTGTATTTTTGGGTCCAGCACATGCAAAGAAAGTTCTCCAGATCTCCTTCTCAACTAATGAAACAGCATGTGGTGGTATGTACCTGTAATATAAACAGTAGGATCAGAGTGCAGGCCTTCTGCACAAAAAAACAAGGCCCTATTTCAAAAGTAACTAAGATTAAAAAGGGCTTGAGTGTGGCTCAAGGTAAAGTGCCTACCTAGCAAGCACAAGGCCCTCAGTTCAATTCCAGTACTGCTCTATCACAAATAATGGTTGTATAGTGGGTATGTTTCTAGATGGGCTTGCCCCAAAATGTTCAAACTGTATTTTTTTTTCATATAGTTTAATATGACACAAAGGCTACACATTATAGAGGGAACATCCAATCATTCACTAAGGCAAACACACACACATATATCAAACTGTAGATTTGTGTGCATTATTTATTAATGGTGTTGTTTGGAAATAGATGTGATAAATCCTTCTTTTACTATTAACATGATGGCAGCACAAAAAATTTTACTGTAGATTCTGTATATTTGCAATTTCTTTTTAATAAAAATTAATGTGGAAACAGGTTTCTAAAATTGTGCTTTATTTTGAAAATTTATATCTAATACAATGCAATGTAATTGTGCTACCTACAACTTAATGAGAAGAATTATTAAAAAGTATTAATTTGGGCTGGGAAGGTGGCTCAGTGGTAGAGTGCTTGCCTTGCATGCATGAGGCCCTGGGTTCGATTCCTCAGCGCCACATAAGAAGAAAAAGCCGGAAGTGGCGCTGTGGTTCAAGTGGTAAAGCGCTAGCCTTGAGCTGAAGAGCTGAGGGATAGTGCCCAGGCCCTACAACGGACACACAAGTATTAATTGGCAGAGCAACCTCAACCATGACATCTAGGAGTTATACATAAGTCCTGTGATATTTTTAAATTTTATCCCAAAGTGGTATGTCTGTGTCTCTGTGTACGTATCCTCAAGTGATGAGAAATTCCATCTCAAAGCTCCTTCTCAAAGTGAGGCTGCAAGCCCATGCCATTTCCCCATGTAAGCCAGGCTTACCACTGATCTCCACCATAAACTTTCCGGTATGATTAAATTCTTATACATACACGACGTGTGTATGAATATATGTATGTAAATATGTATTTCCTGCTAGCTCAATCCTTTGATTTTTTTTTTTTTTTGTCGGTTGTGGGGCTTGAACTCTGGGCCTGGGCGCTGTCCCTCAGCTCTTCAGCTCAAGGCTAGTGCTCTACCGCTTGAGCCACAGCACCACTTGGGTTTTGAGTGGTTTATTGGAGATAAAGAGTCTCACGAAGTTTCCCTCCCGGGCTGGCTTCGAACTGCGATCCTCAGGTCTCAGCCTCCTGAGTAGCTAGGATGACAGGCTTGAGCCACCAGCACCCGGCTCGATCCTTTGATTTTTACAATTTCTCCTAAAGGCGTCCGTTCCCCGTTTCAGACCCTGCGTCTTCCGGTAGGTTGCTCTGCTCTGGCTCTCCAATTCCAACGGCCCTTACACGGTGGGTTACATTCTGCTGCTAGTTCCTCACGAGCTCATCTTGCTGCTTCTCTAATGTGCGGATGGGGACCAGGGCGTGGACCCACCCCAGCGAGGTGTTCCCCACCACAGGGTCAGCATGCCGGGTGCGGGCAGCCCCTATTCGGAGGACGCTTTTCAACTCCCTCACTTGCCCACGGGGCTGCCTAGCCGCCATCCTGTGCGGCTCTGGCCCTAACGGATGGAAAGTCCTTCGGTACTCATTTGGCCTCCCGGCCGCCGATTTTCCCACAGACCAGGGTTCGGAGACCTACCAGACTGCACGACTTTTGCCTGGATGACGGCGCACTTTCTTGTGCCTGGGAAGTGAAAGAAGGGCGCACTACCCTCGGACACTAGGACGAAGCACGACCAGCCGCCATGCGCCTCCGTACTGAGCATGCGCAGAGCCGTCCTCGGGCAGCTTGAAAACACAGGAGCATGCGCAGAGTGGTCCTGAGGCATTATGGAAATTCATGAGCAGGTGCAGCTTGGTCCTCAGGCAACCTTGAAATCCAGGAGCATACGTAGTGTTGTTCTCGACCTGCCTTGCCTGAGCTTGTGCCTTCGAGAACCTTCTTGCCTTCTGACAGGAGGAGGTGGGTTATGGAAACTGGGGCCGTGGAGAACTGTATCCCCCACCTGACCAGGAGAGTAATGCGCATGGGTTCCCGGTGGTGTGCAGGGGCTCCCTGGGAAGGCCCGGCTGGGAGCCACCAGTCCCACACTCTGCCCCACTGCTGGTTAACGGGTGTGAGGGGTAGGGTAGGGCTGTACACGGATTTCTGACTAGTGTGGCATCTGCAACGGCCCTCTCCATGTAGACATGGCTTTTTATTTCTAGAGCTTGTTATTCGTGCAACAAATTTATTGTTCTTAGTACTGGGGTTTGAACTCAGGGCCCCTGCTTGCTCAGGTTATGCTCTATCATTTGAGTTACGTCCCCAGCCCGACTTTTGCTGGTTATTTTGGAGATGGGAGTCTCAGAAATTCTCTCAGGAATTTGAAACCCAGGCTGGTTTCGCCATCCTCAGGATGTCAGCTTCCTGAATCATGTGCCCTCATGCTGGCTAAAAATATGTTTTCGAGTGTTAGGGTATTTGACATGCTATGTTTATTAAAATAAATAAATGAGACCACTTTTTTGGTGTGTTTTTTGCCCCTGTTCTTGTTTCAAGTTTTATAAAATGAGTTAAATGTTAAGTGTTGTGATACTTATTCTGGGATATCAAACAAAGGTGAAGTTAGGAAACTTGCTAGCAAGTGTGCTTGTGTGCTTGCTTGGCAGGTTGCTCTATCACTTGACCCATTTTGGGCCTTTGATATTCCTACAAGGCATTTTATTTTTGGTTCTGGTCCTGAGGCATTGAGTCAGCAATTGGGTGCTGTCCCTGAGCATTTTTGCTGAAGATGAGTACTTCTGTAATCCTAGCTACTCAGAAGGTTGAGAGGATGAGATCTGAGGATCAGGTTCAAAGCCATCAAAAAACTGGAAGTGCATCTGAGGCTCAAAAGGTAGTATGTTAGCCTCAAGCCCAAAAGCTCAGGAACAGTACCCAAACCCAGGACTGGCACACACACACAAACAATATGGCCTACACCACCAGCAGGAAAGTTTGAATATTTCTTAATTTGGTCTCTAATTCTTAATCATAAGGTCTAGTAAATTCAGGTGTGACTATCAGAAAAAAATCACTGCACACAGCTTTAATAAGTTTATATTCACCAGCTTTTATTAAAAAAATGGCTTGATAGTTCAAGAGATACAGGGACATTTGGCTTTTAGTTTGTAGGAGAGCTTGCTTTCTTTCTGCATTGGCTCAACAGTCAGTCCTTGGATCCAGAAATGGACAGGTTGCCTGGGATAAGGTGAGAATGATACTACCACTCAATCCTGCTCAACAGGTTACTTGTAGCGATCCTTAAAGGAAAGGGTAGGGTCTCTTCTTGTTTCCATGAAATTCCATAGCCATTTCTCCACAAAACATTCTATGAAGTAAATGAAGCTCATGCTTGTATAACAGAGATGAGAACACCACCTTCAGACTTGGTTCCCGGCACAGGAGAAAAGCATGCCACTCCACCCTAATGCCATACTCTCACTAAATTAAATCTTAGGATGATAAATGTGGCATGGCTTTAAAATTCAGTGAACCATCTTTGTAGTAGAATTCATTAACACATTTAGCTGTCAGCTGAAAGATTTGTGACAGCCAACTACTTGGTGAATAAGTGTTATGAAGCAAAAGAGTGATATCTGCAAAACATTGTAAATATACTAAATGCTACTCAGTGTACTGATTTGAATGATAGGATAGTGATATTTAGGTTATGTGTATTTTTATGATAATAAAAACAAAACTTGAAAGATTGCATTGGAGGTTGTATTTTTCCTGACCCTGAGTCATGACTGAATTTTTCTTCCTAACATCTACAACTTAATATTCTTTTACATCTAAATATTCGTATGTTCATCTGATTTTTTAAAAAAAATCTCTGGTCCAAGTGTTCTACCTGGTAGCATCCTGGCCTCACCCAGGAAATTATAATTAACTGACGTACCAATTTTAAGGGGATTAACAATTGTATTAGATGCACAAATGTATATTTCCTTTCAAAACTCTTTGGCTAAGACTGAGAATGGGATTTATGTCTGTCCTTTCCAAAGGCATTATATGGCTTTTTTTTTTGCAAGAAGGAATGAGGAAGGGAGAGATTCATAAAGATTCTGAGTGAGCCAGTTTCTGAGGTTCTTTTAACTACCTCTGATTCCTGGCATGGGACTCAGAACTCTTACTTCAGTATTGTTCAGTCAGTATTGTTCGTTTATAAAGCAAACATCATGAAAGGTGGCAGGTCTTTATAACCTATACAAGAATAAAGTACAACAGAGAAAGAGGTGACTGGGAAAGACAGACAAGATACAGTTATCTGCCAGGAGGCTCATGAGGCAGGGGTTGTGAAACACTTCCCAAGAAAAGGCTTCAGTAAAAACGAAGGAAGCCTCAGGCTGGTCTAGATTGGCCCTGGAAATCAGGGAAGGATAATCTTGCATTCTGCTGCCTGGAAGGAAGTACTCCTTGGACAAGTTATTGTTGTTGTTGTTACTTATTCCAGACAGCAGATTTCAGCTGCTCGTGCTATACCATTTCTTTCCAGAAGTAGGAAGGCTTGTTACAGATAAATATGCCTGTGATGAACACTGCAACCAGGATCAGGGAGAAGAGGACCATGAGGAAGATGTAAGTGGAATGTGGGAGACGTGCAGATGGTGGTTGCTCAGCTGGGATCATGTTGGTCAGATTCAGCATATAGCCCAAAGTCCAGCCGGCGTTGCTACCCTCGACCTGCAAAGAGTGAAAAGTTAGCTATTGGTGGTTAAGAAGCTAGTCTAGTTCACATACAACCCTATCCAGAACACCTGAAGGATAGTAAGCACCCTGTTCTCAAAATACAGGTTATATTCTATACTAGGCATCTGGTTGTGAGGAAAATGGCAGCATATGACTAAATGAGAGTTTGGATTTTCACTACTTAGTTCCAAAGTTCAGAAAGGAATATGGTAAATGGATTCTACCTGGAAGGACTTAATCAAATGGATCTTTGCTTTCTTGCTTTCTTGTTTACACCAATAGGGTGGGCATAGGAGGTGACAGGAAGCAGACAAAGGATGAGGAAATGATTGTTCTATCCTGTCCTATTCTTTTAACATCTTTGCCAGGCCTGGGCTGGGCTTTACTAGGGAAAATCTAGGAGAGGACAATCTGGGAAAATCTGTGTAATAATACCAACAAGTTAATATTACTTTATGGAAGCTGGATAACTCTATATGCAGGGAAAAAAAGGATTCTTAAGTTATAAGATATATTCTGACCCTGCCAGGTGCCTAGGAATAATTTCCAATCACCTGAGAGCTGACTGGAAAATAACTGGTCTTTGAATGGTAATTTTGGAAGTGGTTAGTTACATGAGTTATGCATGGTTATAGTAGAAAAATGCAAATTAAAAATGCAATTAAGCTTAAAAAAGAAAATTTAAACCACCCTTATTTCACCACTCAGAAGTTGTTTCTATTACCATTTTGTGACATACCTTTTAATTCTCTCTGAGCATAAAAAATATGGGAATTAAGTTTTCTGTAGAAGAATTCATTTATTACTATCTTCATGTCTCCAGATATTTCTATGCCATTTTAGGATTTAAAAATGATAGAAAAGGGCTGGGAAGGTGGCTCAGTGGTAGAGCGCTTGCCTTGCATGCATGAAGCCCTGGGTTCGATTCCTCAGCACCACGTAAGCAGAAAAAAAAAAGCCGGAAGTGGTGCTGTGGCTCAAGTGGTAGCTTGCTAGCTTTGAGCTGAAGAACTGAGGGATAGTGCCCAGGCCCAGAGTTCAGGCCCCACGACCGGACCCAAAAAAATCATAGAAAATTGGAAATGATGTATCCACTTTTAGACTCTTAGCACATACTGTCAGTCTCCCAAAAGACTGTATTAGTTTATACTCCAACTAAAACTATGTGGACATTCTTCTTTCCTCCAAACCCCTACCAGTATTAGGAATGAGTAATTTAATTTGTAAGGCTTCAATACTTTGTTTTGCTTGAAATCACCACATTTTAGAAGGGGACAAAGTATTTTTGCCATTAGTGTACAGAGGCTTAAAAACACTGCCCTTGATACTTTCATCCAGCTTAAGTCCCACACCTGATGTGTATCTGTTTCTGAATACCTGCAGGTGGCACTACAGTAAAGCACAGCAGGGATTTTGCTTCTTCAAGGGCTTCTGCTAAGCCTGCTTTCTAAGTAACAGCCTCCTTCATAGCCATTCAGTCTCTTCCTTCACTCAGAGCTTTCAGGTTAGTCAGCTTTGAAGCAACAACCAACAAAGCGTTCATTCCTTATAAGAACCTATGGTGGTCCTTTCCTGAATTGAAGAAGGGGTCTAGGGAGGGGGGCTGTGGGAGTCTGAAGTTTGGAAGTGCTGTTACATTGCTTTAGTATCTCAGTCTTTATGAGAATTAGTCATTGTACCATGGGAAGAAAGGCAACAGAGAATGTCGTCAGCTCCCCTTCAGTCCCATAGCTGGGTGATATTTCCAGAAGAGTGTGAAACAGAATTCCAGTTTGGATCAGAGGTGGAATGACAAAACAGGACATTGGGGCCAAAACTTCCATCACACTGACTCCCATCTTTTTCGAGCCCAAAGCTGCTACAATCAACACCACCCAACCTCCACACATCCAACAGGTGCTCAAATTACCTTGCCCATAAAATGAATTTGCTCCCAGGAATCATTTGTAAAATGATAGCCTTGCAGAAGAAGGGAGAGGATGTAGGCCCCAGAAAAGCAGTATTCACTCAGGTATTTCTCCTTTATTTCAGGAAAAGATGTCTTTACCTAGAAGTGAAACGAAGGAAATATCATACCTGCACAAAAGGATCTCTCTATAGCTTTCTTTGTTACTACTAGACCTGAGAAGGATCATGTGGGCTTGAGGGTTGGCTTTCCCAGAAGCATTGGGGATGGTGCTGTACTACAGTGGGTGCTACAATGTTTTTCAGTTTATGGTATTGTACAGAAGCACTTTATTCCTAGAGCTCTGTATGTTAATAAATACATGATCTAGGAAAAAAGTTGTTCCTGTGGTATAGTATGTTTTAAAGCAGTTAATTTCAGTATCTTTTTCATCCCCTAAACTTGATATTTTAATATTATTAGAATATTAATATTTAATATGAACAGAATATTATTCTACTTAATATGTTAATATATTATATAATTTTATAAATACTGTATATGAAAAGAGTCTGATAATTTTTAGTCAGTGTTTCCTATATATTCTTCATCAGATTCTTTGGCTAACAGCCTCTATAAATATCTTAAGGGAATAATGTCCAAAAAAAGCCTTACCACACACTTAGTTTAGTATGTGTACTGACAGCAACATTCTCAAAGAGCATGTTAGTTCTCACCCCAGTCACTCAAAATTTGCACTTTCTGATGATTCTTTGGTGATTCATGTGCACAGTACAGTCTGGGAAACACATTCAGCTCTGGAAACATTTTACTGGCTAAGTACTTAGCTTGGTGGGAAAGCACTTGCTTAGCATATGCAAGGCCCTGGGTTCAGTTTCCATTACTACAAAGCAACAATATGGCCAATTACAAATGGTCAATAAATACATGAAGAAATGTTCAACATCTTTAATCATAAAGGAAATGTAAATTAAAATGACACATTTTTATCTCACTTCAATCAGATTGGTTTTCATTAAGACAACAACCAAATTTGGACAGAGTATTACTCAACCACAGAAAGAATAAATTTGCCAACTACTGGTGGCTCATGCCTGCAATCTTAGCTACTCAGAAGGCTGAATTCTAAGGATCACAGTTCAAAGCTAGCCTGGAGAGGAAAGTCTGAGAGACTCTTATCTCCAATTAACCACCAGAAATCCAGATGTGGAGCTTTGGCTCAAAGTGATAGAACACTAGCTTTGAGCAAGATTGCTCAGGGACAATGCCCAAGTCCTGAGTTCAAGACCCATGACCGACCAAAAAGAGAAAAAAAAAGAAAAAATAAGAATGTCTTTTACAAGAAAATGGATGTAACTGGAGATTTTTATGTTAACTGTGAGGCCAAACATAGGAATATGAATACCTCATGTTTCTTCTCATATGCAGAATCTAAGTTTTTTTTTTTTGGGGTCCGGTCATGGGGCTCGAACTCTGGGCCTGGGTGCTGTCCCTCACCTTTTCAGCTCAAGGCTAGCGCTCTACCACTTGAGCCACAGCGTCACTTCCGGCTTTTTTTTCTTTTTTTTTTTTTGTCGGTCGTGGGACTTGAACTCTGGGCCTGGGTGCTGTCCCTCAGCTCTTCAGCTCAAGGCTAGCGCTCTACCACTTGAGCTACAGCGCCACTTCCAGTTTTCTGGTGGTTTATTGGAGATAGGAGTCTCACGGTCTCTCCTGCCTGGGCTGGCTTTGAACCTCGATCCTCAGATCTCAGCCTCCTGAGTAGCTAGGATTACAGGCGTGAGCCACCAGCGCCCGGCTTTTTTTTTCTTTTTGCTTATGTGGTGCTGAGGAATCGAACCCAAGGCCTCAGGCATGCAAGGCAAGCGCTCTACCACTGAGCCACCTTCCCAGCCCCAGAATCTAAGTTTTTAAAATGGCATGAAAGTATATTAATAAGAAATAAAGTCTCTTTTTTTTCAGTTAAAAATGGCATGGAAGTAGACCAAAGAACTAACTTGGGAAGAAGAAAGTACACAGGGGAAAGGAAGGGAAAGAAATAGAGGAATTATTATGATTAATGTACTTTGCATGTATACATGAAAATGTCACAGTGCAACTGATTTTGTACAAATATATGCTAATAAAAACTTAAAAAAAAAACACTGCATGGGCAGTTTAGTGGTAGAATACTTGGCTAACACATAAGGCCCTGCATTCAATCCTCAGCAACACATAAAACACTAACAACAAGATAAAAGGTAACATGTTAGTGAGGATATAGAGAAAAAAGAACCCTTACGTGCTGGTAATAGGAATGCAAATCAGTACAGCCATTTAAAAAATAGTACAGCCAGGTGCTGGTGACTCACAATTGTAATCTTAGCCACTCAGAACTGAAGATCTTGGTTTGAAGTTAGGCTGGGCAGCTAAGTTCAGGAGATTCTAATTTCCATTTAATTACCCAAAAAGTCGGAAGTGGAGCTATGACTCAAGTGTAGCGTATGTACATATGTTGAAAATATCACTCTACCACATGAAAACATAGTTATTATGTATCCGCCAAAAATGAAAGTAAAAGATGTTTTAAAAAACAAGGGCAATAATATAAATACTGCAATTGCTAGCAGATCAGTAAGACAAGAGAAAGAAACAAAAGGGATCCAAATAGGAAAGGAAGAAGTCAAACTACCTCTATTTGCAGATGATGTGATTCTATGTCTAGAAGGACATAGATTCCACCCTAAAAACTCCTAGACTTGATAAGCACCTTCGGCAAAGTAGCAAGATATAAAATTATCACACAAAAATCAGCTTTCTACCAACAATGAGATGGAGAAGGACATTAGAAGAATAATACCATTCACAGTAACCTAAAAAAAAAAACAACAAAACAAAAGAAACCCACCAAGAAATAAACCTAACCAAGGACCTCTATAATAAAAACTATAAATCTTTGAAGAGAGAGATTGAAGAAGACACCAGGAGACAGAAAGACTTCCCATGTTTGTCAAACTGACTAAAGTATGGTAGGGATGGGTTTCCATGACGTAACCCCTTTGAGCAATTAACAGGTTAACAAGATAAATATCTGGAAGCGAAAACATATGAGGGTGGTAGGGCTGAGTGAACAGGGTGGACAAATGGAGAGAGGAATGGTAGGTGAATGTAGTCATAATATTTAATGTATATATGTGAAAATAAAACTAGGAAACCTGAGATGAGTGGGGATGGGTTAGATGGGGGCAGTAATGGCAAGGGCATCACTGAACAAGATGAATTGTACACAATGGACATGTTAAAAGCATTCTAAACAGCCAGGCACCAGTGGCTCACACTTATAATTCTAGCTACTCAGGAGGCTGAGATCTGAGGACTGAGGTTCAAAGCCAGCCCAGGCAGGAAAAGTCTGTGAAACTCTTATCTCTAATAAACCACCAGAAAATGGGAAGTGGCACTGTGGCTCAAGTGGTAGAATGCTAGCCTTGAGCTGAAGAGCTCAGGGACAGCGCCCAAGCCCAGAGTTCAAGCCCCACGACAAACAAAATAAAAAAGAAAAATAAAAAAGAAGGGAATACTGAGATATGGGGCTTCTGGCATAGCCTTTTCTATACACAAGTATCTGGTTCTACTCATGATTTCAGACAAAAGGGCCACATCAGCCAACTTGGGTCCATGATGAAATGCATAACATCAAGGTTGAAAAAGCAGTGCTTGAGGTAGAGATGAACTGCTGACTCTATGTCAGTAGAGCCTATTAAAGGACTTCATATAAAGTGAGAAACACCAAGAAATGTGGATAAATTCATTCTTTACTCCACCACTGGATTTCTCCAACACATTTACTGGATATTAGTCAAAACTGGATGAAGTTAAGAACAGATTCATAACCTCCCCAGTAGTGACAGCAATTGTGACAGTTTCTGTTTCTAGTTACTTACCTCCTCCCAGGACTTAGAGCAGAAATTTCCCATTATCTCAATCATCTGTTCCTCAGAGGACACTTTTTCCGATGTTAAGTTTAAAAAATCCATCACAAAATAGAAAGCTGAAAATGCCTGCGGTAGAAACACCCACAGTTTTAGGCTGTGCCTAACACACAGAGACATTGACTTGGTCCTTTTGGGGCTCAATTTTGGCTCTGAAAATAGCAAAGAAACCCTCCACCGGCAATTCGCTACTATAGCATCTGTATGCTTCAATTCCAGTGAAAAGCCCAGTGGAAGTTTCTCAAAAGACACTGTGAGTTTTTTATTGTTTGTTTTGTTTTTAAACCATACCCCCCCCCACACACACGCACACACACTACAGTGAAATGGTTTAAGTGGTACAATGCCAGCTAGATTGAAAGGGTATCAACAACACACACACACACACACACACACACACACACACACACACGCACACATCTCATGTGTAGTAAGTAAATAGTTAATAAAATTAATAACTGTAAATACTTCTGTTTTCCTTTTTTTGGAATGATTTCTCCCCTATTTCATATCTAAACAGTTGTCTGGCAATGTAGTTGACATTCCATTAAAAGTTTCCAAAAGAACAAAGTCAGAAAGTTAACCCAAAGCAACATTGATTCATAAAGGAATTAAAAACAACCTAAGTTGTATTAAATCATTTTCCAAGGGTCAAATAAAAAGGTATGGACAGCACTTGTTTTTGTTTTTGTTTTTGTTTTTTTTTGAATCAAGGTCCTGTTCCAAACCACACAGCTGACATATCCCCTCCCTTCATAGAGCCAAGGGGAAACGCTGCTGAGTGAGCTGGGTATGTTCATCTTTCTTGCTGTACTTCAGAATAAGATCATTATCTTCCCTTGATCACTCAGTTCATATTCACATTAATTCATTTTCTCATTCCATCAGCCTGTCAGCTGAAAGACTTAATGACAACATATATTGTATAAGTTTTTCAGAAATCTGCCACAGTCCTGGTTTAGTATCTAAGGTCAATTTCTCTGGGAATATCTCTTCTGTCATGGACTACTGTTTATACAAACAAGTTGGAATTCAAACTAGGAAAATAGTGTTGATAGACTGATGGCAGGGTTTAGGTTCTTTTCCCCGCTTGGTTTATGTATATTTAGAAAGTAACCTTAATCTTAGTTATAATGCTTTCCTTTTTTAATTCCAAGAATTATCCCAAATGACAAAAACCAAAAGCAAACAAAAAGTCTCCTCCTTTACCCCAAGCAGCAACATTTCTCAAACTCCCATAGTTGAGGATCACATCACCAAGTTTATGCCTGTGGCTGGAAGACACTTTAATGAGGGAGGGGGGAACCCCACTATTCTGGTCTTGCTCTTAGGCTTCAGGAATTGAAGCCAGGGATTTTCTTTTGCCAGAATGGATGCAAAACCAATTCTTGAGAATGCCGACTCCATTTTAGGAATTCCTGAGTTTGTTTTAACTATCGATAGGATACTGTCCTAAATCTATGAACTGTCCCTTAATTCCCAAACTAGGAATCAATATTATAGTATTTTTCTTTATAATATTTTACTTGGTATCTACATCCTATGGGTCTACATTTGAGTAACAAATTAGGATAGAAACACTCTAAGTAATCTTCAGGAAGCATAGCTTTTTTGTTTGTTTGTTTGTTTTTTCGGTCATGGGGCTTGAACTGTAGGCCTGGGCACTGTCCCTGAGTTCTTGAGCTCAAGGTTAGCGCTCTACCACAGTGCCACAGTGCCACTTCAGGCTTTTCTGTTTATGTGGTGCTGAGGAATCAAACCCAGGGCCTCATGCATACAAGGCAAGCACTCTACCACTGAGCAACCTTCCCAGCCCAGGAAGCATAGCTTTAAAAAGTGAGATCCTAAGTCAGAAGCCAGTGGCTCATACTTATTATAGCAACAGGGAGGTTAAGATTGAGAGAATCTCTGTTCAATGCCAGCCTGGGCAGAGAATTTACCAGACCACTTCTCAATTAGAGTTGAGCATGGTGGTATGGACCTGTTATTCTAGTTACATAAACTAATCTATAAACTAGTTGGACCATGTCCAGGCATATACAGGGACATGAAACTAGACCTTATCTGAAAAATAACTGGCAGGAAAGGGTTGGAGATATGACTCAGCAGTATACCACTCACCTAGTAAGGTCCTGAGTTCAAGCCTCAGTACTGAAAATAACAAGTCAGTTTCTCATCTTTCAGTTTCTAGTTTAGACAGTATTTATAGAAAGTTATTTAAAGAGTATATGACTCTTTTCTTCTAGCTACTCTGAAATCTATTAAAACCTATCTCAGTGTGTTGTTATACAACTATAGTTCTAGATAATTTGGAAGTTAAGGGAGAAAGATCTCTTGATCCCAAGAGTTCAAGTGCTGCCTTGACAAATTAGACTGCATCTAAAAAAAAAGTTAAAAAAATCTACATTACAATTTTCTACATCTAAACAATAGCAATCTGAAATCTGGATCTTGCCAGAGTTTCCAATTTCAGGGCATTTTGATTTGACATTAAGGATGCCCTACCTCTATAGCAACTTTAACCTGAAGGCAAAATATTTATGAGCCACTTACCATGTGATGATAACTTTTTGGTGGTTAAAGCAATATACATTTTTAGTCTATTTACTACCATTAATACATAGTCTATTATAAAAATTAAAAAGTCAAAATGTATGTAAACCAAGATTTACATATGATACATGATACCATTCAGTCAAAAGAATGGTAAGAAAGAGCAGCATTAAATCACAATTCCAAATACACTATAGCTCATACTACATCACTGTGGTGGTTTCTTTCACAGTACCTCCATTTTGCTGTTATGGTGAGCTCAAGTGTGGTGAATCTCTGATTAAAATACATGTGTAACATGTATTTTAATGTTACACATGTTACACATGTATTTTAATATCCACATGAGCAATTTCATTTCTCTAGTACATTGCATATTACAGTACATAGTGATCTTTTATGGTTCTTATGTATTTCCACTGTGTACAATACAGATAATGTAAATATGTGTTAAGTATGGTACGGGTAAGGCTTCTGGAATGACAGTCTATATTAATAGTAATTACATTTTGGAGGATTCAAGTTTGATCAGTACCAGGAACCTCAGAGATCCCTGAGCCTCATCTGCACAAAGGGGATGGAGGCATGGCTTATGTGGTAGACTGTCTGCTTAGCAAGCACAGGGCCCTCAGTTCAAAAGATTAGACTTGAAAACCTCAAATACTATTATTTTGCCCATTGACCAGATCTGCATTATTAATATAGCATGTGGTTTTGATTATTTTAACTAAGGATATCTTTTTGGTAATGACAAAAATTTTAAAACGGGTTTTTCTTAATATTTTTTTTTTCGGTCGTGGGGCTAGAACTCTGGGCTTGAGCGCTTTCCCTCAACTTTTCAGCTCAAGGCTAGCACTCTACCACTTGAGCTATAGTGCCACTTCTGGTTTTCTGGTGCTTTATTGGAGATAAGAGTTTCAGGTAACTTCCTGCCTGGGCTGGCTTTGAACCCTAGTCTTCAGATCTCAACCTCCTGAGTAGCTAGGATTACAGGCATGAGCTACAGGCGCCAAGCTTCAATATCCTTTTAAAGATTTCACTTTTATATCTGGTTAAGGTAAGATTTTATGGAAGGTTATTTAAAGAGTATATAACTCTTTCCTTCTATCTACCCTGAAATCTGTTACATCCTATCTCAGTGTGTTGTTATGCAACTATAGTCCCAGATTTTAAATTATCTGATAAAGGAGGAAGAGAGGAAGGAGGAAAAGCTGAGCATGGTACTTGTAATTATTGCTACTCTGAAGGCTGAGGCAGGAAGATCACCAAGTTCAGGGTTAGCCTGTTCAAATTATTTATGCCCTCACTCAAACAAACAAACACTTTTTTAAAGGGCTTGAACATGTTGAATTTGTACACTAATTAAATAACAACAAATAATATATAAAATAAAAATAATAAACATTTTCAAAAGAGAGGCTGGGGATATAGGCTCAGTGATGGAACACTTATCTAGCATCTGCCAGTCCTGATATTGACTCCATTCCCCAGAACCTCCCCCTCCAAAAAAAAGAGCCAAACAAAATAAAAGACAAACTGCAAGTACCTGTTAATAAAGGCCCTAAATAGTTTGTGGGTTCTTTTGGGTTTTTCTTTTTAGAAAGCTGTATGTAGGGAGTTGAGTGTGGTAGTATATGCCTGTAATCACAATTAAGGAAGCAGAGGAGGAAAATTATGAGTTGAGGCCAGCTTGGACAAAGTCAGCAAGATTTTATATCAAAAACAAAAATAAAATGGCTAAGGGCATGGATAAAGCAGAACACCTGCCCAGCATGTGTAGAGTTCAGAGTTCTATTCCCAGTATTAAAAAGTTATGCATGGTGCCGGGCGCCAGTGGCTCATGCTTGTAATCCTAGCTACTCAGGAGGCTGAGATCTGAGGATAATGGTTCAAAGCCAGCCTGGGCAGGAAAGTCCATGAGACTCTTATCTCCAATAAACCACTAGGAAACCGGAAGTGGCGCTGTGGCTCAAGAGGTAGAGCGCTTGCCTTGAGCTGAAGAGCGCAGGGACAGCACCCAGGCCCAGAGTTCAAGCCCCACAACTGACAAAAAAAAAAAGCTATGCATGGATTTTTGCTTTCAAGTGAAATCAGCTTCCCTAACCTCTGTGTTGCTCAGTGGTCAGATGTATTACATGTATGTAAACAAATACACTTTAAATGTTCTAGTTCCTTACTGAATTTCTTTCTGGCCTGTGCTGTTTGTATAAATGATGCAATGTGGTCTTAAAAAATAATTCTGAAGTTACTCCATAAGTAATTCCCAACAGATGTTCCCTCTTCCTTTTTGGTGTTTCTACTTTGCCTACATTTGATTGTATCTGGTAACTATGGCTACACACGGCCAAACTGATGAGAGTATTGCCAAGATTTTTTTTATTTGGCAGGGTTTGCCTTTGTGGTATTAGGGTTTGAATCTAGGGCTCAGGCGTGGTAGGCAGGTGTTCTATTATTTGAGCCACACTCCCAGCTCTTTTGTGCTTTATTTTTATGATAGGGACTCGGGATCTTGCCCAAGGCAGCCTTGACTAGCCATTCTCTTACCTACCTACAGCTCCTACGAAGCTGGCATTATAATTATTCATTATAAACCCAGCTTCTCTGTTGAAATGAGTTCTTACTAAACTACCCTGGCCTCAAATTGCAATCTTCCTGATCTCCACCTTACAAAAAGTTGGAGCAAAAATCCTCCCATCATAAATTCTGGTTTAGAACACCCGGGGGAATGATTTTGAAAGTCACAAGAATGAAGCTGGATTTTTTGTTGTTGTTGTTGGTCATAGGGCTTGAACTCTGGGTCTGGGCGCTGTCCCTCAGCTCTTCAGCTCAAGGCTAGCGCTCTATCACTTGAGTCATAGCACTACTTCCATTTTCTGGTGGTTTATTGGAGATAAGAGTTTGACAGACTTTCCTGCGTGGGCTGGCTTTGAACCGTGATCCTTAGATCTCAGCCTCCTGTGTAGCTAGGATTACAGGTGTGAGCCACCAGTGCCCGGCTGAAGCTGGATATGTATGTTACAAATACCTATGTACAAATACAAGTACCAAGGCTTGGCAATGAGATCTCCTGCAGGAATGACAGGATGAAGGCTGCTGGGAATAAGAACTAATTTTTGCCCCACACCAGTGGTTCATGCCTGCAATCCTAGCTGCTCAGGAGGCAGAGATCCGAGGATAGTGGTTTGAAGCCAGCCAGGGCAGAAAAGTCCCTGTGAGACTCTTATCTCCATTTAACCACTCAAAAACAGGAAGATGAGGTTGGGAAGGTGGCTCAGTGGTAAAGTGCTTGCCTTGCATGCATGAGGCCCTGGGTTCGATTCCTCAGCACCACATAGCAGAAAAAGCTGGAAGTGGTACTGTGGCTCAATGGTAGAGCACTAGCCTTGAGCTGAAGAGCTGAGGGACTGTGCCCAGGCCCAGAGTTCAGGCCCCACAACTGGCAAAAAAAAACCACACAAAAAAAACCAGGAAGATGAGCTATGGCTCAAAGTGGTAGAATGCTAGCCTTGAGCAAAAGAGCTCAGGGACTGTGAGCAGTCCCTGAGTTCAAGCAATTAAAACAACAATAACAACAACAAAAAAAACCCAACAACTAACGTTTTAGGTTTCACCTGCCACTAAGGTTAATGTAAGCCTAGACCCATGACACTACCTACTGCTGTTTTTTCAGACAGCAAGACAATAAAGAGCTCACCAAGTTCCTAAGAAATTAGGAATTAGGATTGGCCCTGGTAGCTCATGACTGTAATCCTAGTTACTCAGGAGGCTGAGATCTGAGGAGCTTGGGTCAAAGCCATCTGGGGCAGGAAAGTCCTTGAGATTCTTTATCTCTAGTTAACCACTAGAAAACTGGAAGTGAAGCTGTGGCTCAAAGTGGTAGAGTGCTAGCCTCGAGCAAAAGAGCTTAGGGACAGGACACCGCCCAGGCCCTGAGTTGAAGCCCCACACTGAGGAAAAGAAAAGAAGGGAAAGAAAGAAAGAGAGAGAAAGAGAGAAAGGAAAGAAAGAAAGAGAGAGAAAGGAAAGAAAGAAAGCAAGGGAAAAAAGGAAAGAAAAGAGAGAGAGAGAGAGAGAGAAAGAAAGCAAGGAAAGAAAGAGAAAAATCAGGAATTAGGTCAGATTTGACTACTGTAGATCCTGAGCTCTCTCCAGGAAGCTCTTCCTATGATCCTGTACTGAGTCAGGAGAACTGAGAGCTGCTCTCTGGTGGGGTATTTAGAATCGGATCTCCTTTTATCCATGCTGTTTTGTTTTTATTTTTGAGAAGGGAAAAAGAATATGAAGGCAGACAAAGGCCTTTATTTCTTTGAATGATTTCTTGAATAAATTTATGTGTCTATAAACACTTAGTCAATAATTGCTGCCTAACAGATAGTAGATAATTTTGCAATATACTCCTTGTGATTGCAATAATGCTTGGTGTCTCAGAACCGAAATATGGGAATTTGAATTACTATATCAAGAGGTCTGTCCTCCCATAATTGGAAAGGAATGAATTTGAAGCTGTAGTTCAAATACCTCTCAACTCTTCAAAATGTAATGCAATGTTGCAATTTTAATACTTCCTTCAGATTTAAATCTTTCTTGAGGTTTTCTGAGTTTAAATCTTCCTTGAGATTTCCTGTGTTTCTACTTTTAAATAAATGTCTTGAAAGAGGAAAATGCTCAGCTGCTCCAACTGCTGCTTTTCCTCCTGACATCTGGAAAGTCACTGTGGCAGATTCTAATGATGCCTGCCCCAGAGCCCTTCTTTTTGCTTACAGAAACCTAAATGTACCCACATAGAGGAAGTTAAGGTGCCCAGGAAACACTTCTCCCAGGAGACAATGTTTAAACCATTTTAATCCATTTTCCTGTAACACACCTTAGTGCATTCACCACATTCTGGCTAAGAGAATATCTATGGCCCTTCTGCATAATTAAATTAAGTGTGTAAGACAAACCCTACACTTCATTTCTGCATTGGTATTACTTGGGGAGATGTGATGCTTGGAGCAGTAGCTGCCATCTTAGCACCACAACAAGGTCAAGGAGATAACTGAGAAGGTACTCCCAATTGCTACCCTTGTGTGGCCAAATAACCAGCCATGAATTTTCTCAACGTTATTATGAGAGTGAACAAGAAATCCTATAATTTAAACATATTATCCAACATGCAACTAAAATCATTCTCCAATATACCTCATTATTTTACAGACTTACCCCAAAATTCCCTTGGAGTGGTGGCAAGAAAATCCCATTGAAGGCACAGCTTGAGTAAGGGCAGTAACTGGTGTTGAAGAGCTCAAGGATACTTTGCTGGCATTTTTGATAGTCTCCAGTACCCTGGATTTGAAACTGATCAAATGGCAGCGTTTTCTGGAGCCTGTTGGTGCAGGGGCTCTTGTAGACCTCACTTACATTCATTGTCTTCTCATATCCAGAGTGAAAGCATGGGTCCCTGATGGTTCTGCTACTTGAAACCTGAATGGGAAAATTACTTGAAGGAATCCTGTGTGAATGATTTTGGGGACTAAAGACATACTCTGATATGGTCGATGTGAAGGCCTTAAGCAACATTATTGGCATATAGCCCTGTCTTGCTTTATTTTCTTTTTCCTATTAGCATAATTTTTCTTTTAAAAAAAGGCTCAGAAGTGGTACCATAGAGCCAGGCACTGGTGGTTCATGCCTGTAATCCTAGCTACTCAGGAGGCTGAGATCTGAGGACTGCGGTTCAAAGCCAGCCTAAGCAGGAAAGTCTGTGAGACTTTTCTGTGAGACCTTCAATAAACCACTAGAAAAGTAGAAGTGGTGTTGTGGATCAAGCAGAAGAGTGCTTGCCTTGAGCTGAAGAGTGCAGGGACAGTGCCCAAGCTCAGAGTTCAAGCCCCACAACCGACAAAAAAAGAAGAAGAAGAAGAAAGAAAGAAGAAAGAAGAAAGAGGAGGAGGAGGAGGAGGAGGAGGAGGAGGTACCCGACATCAATGTAGTAGCATATTTATAGAATGTTGATAGAGTGATTCTGGGTTCAGAAATGCCATTAGTTGGGACTGCCCCTTCATGCATAATCCTAATTACACAGGCCACATAAAGAAAATTCTCAGAATCTCAAAATTATAAGCCAGAGGTCTACACCCTGTCCCTTCCTCTCCTCCCCAAACAAACAATCAGAAGCTCCAAGACCTGAAAAGTGCCTTATGTCCTCCAAGCCAAAAGTATAAAAACGAGTTTTACCCCTCAAAAGAAGAAAAGGGACAGCTGTAGAAAAGCAACTTCACGGTGCTTTGAGGCCAGTGGGCATCACTCAGCAGCACCTATTTGTATGGTGGTCATCTTAAGGACCAGAGTGCTGGGTGCGGTGCAGTTGTGGGAAAGAGAACTGGCTGTCCTTTCATGAAGACAGAAAAGCTGATGTGACACCCTCTCTGTGTCTGCTGGTCAGGGTGTGCCTGGTTCTCTCACGATGCTGCCTTCAAAATCCAGAGGCTTCTGGGAATAAGATCTAAAGTATGGACTAACAAATTCAGTGTTGTTCTGAGGTTTTGTTTTCTTCCTCCTCTCCAGGTCATTTCTAACAACTCTGTTTTCTGTGATTTATAGGAAAGAGATTTACAACTGGTCTAGATGAGCTTATAAATGGCAACCTTTCTTCTGAACAGTGCTCTAATGTGTAACTTTCATTATCATTGCCACCAGGGTGAGAAATTAGTTCCTAAGAAAGGATCTGACTGGTGTCCTTGGAGATAGTGCAGTAAACAAACACAGGAGGGGATGTCTGCATGGGACAACTCATAGGGGTCGACCAGATGTAGTTTGGTATCCTGCCTGAAAAGATTTGGAAAGCACAATAATCAGTTTCAGACCAATTACTGGATTAGAAAAAGGAAATAACAGGATGTGGGGGCTGAGGACCAGATGTGGAGAGAGCAGTCTGAATTCAGTTATACTTGCCTGAATGTCCTTGGCCAGTTTCTGCCAGAGTGCTTGATCTTTCCCGTAGCACAAGAAGCTGTGTGTGTATACAGTGTAGTCTTTGCCATAAAGACGAAATTGCAGAGAGTTTTCGGGAGACTCCACAGTGTAGTTTAGGGGTACAAAAGTGATTTGTGTAGAGGCTCCCCCAAGGTCCAGAGCTCCAAAGGTTTCCTGACTTTGTGGAATGAAGCTGAGCCAACTCAATTTCTAAAAGAGAGGACAGTTACTAGTCTAGCAATCTGTGGATATCCTGATTTACACAGGATTTCTTGCACTCAGCAACTTCCTAAGTCAGTGAAGTGGGGGGCAAAGCTCACTGCAGGCTCCAGCATCAAATCAATAGCAAGAAAAGAGGGGCTTCAAAGATATAGCCAGACCCCAGCAATTTGGAAGCCCTGTGACTAGTCCTTACAAACAAGGGGCCTAAGGCAAGCTGACTCAAGTCTCAATTTCCACTCAGTAAGTCAGGAGATGTGTGATGTTGGGCAGAATAATAACCCTTTTTGGCTATTAATGTTAAGATCTACAACAGAAATAATTTTGCCTCATGCTCTTGTTCTGATAATGCTCAGCATAACACAAGACACACAGCACGAGACAGATACTAATCATTCTTTTTGGTTCCTTTGGTTTTGTTTTGGAGATCAGGTCTTGCTATGATACCCAGGCTGACCTTGAACTAACAGTTTTTCTGCCTCAGCTATCCAAGTAATTGGTATTACAACTGTGTGCCACCTCACTCAGCTATTCTTAATTTTAATAAGGTTAAACTAATTATAAACAAAATAGATTCTATTTTCCCTCATGTCTCCTCCTAAGGTGAAGATAAGGCTCCAATACTCTTCACTAATAGAAGAAGTTCTTAAAAGACAAGTATACTCCTAGTGACTTTTACACAAGTGGGAATACATTCATTCATCCATCCATCCATCATTCTCGCTAGCAACTCAGATACTTTTCCGAGATAGCAATGGCACTGGCCCTCAATGAGCCACTTTCATGGATGCTGTGGGTATTTACCTGAGTGAATTTGCCCAGCAGATAGTTGATGGTAATCCATCCATAGGCACCTTCTTCTTGGCCAGTGATAATCCGTGCACCCTGGAAGTCAAAGGGGTAGTTGCTAAGGCTCCTTGACACTGCAGCCAGGACCCTTTCTGCCGACTGTTCATTTTCCATTCTACACAAAAGAAGAGGTGAGGTTACTATTTTGTCTTAAAAATGACACCTACCCATTCAGCCAGATTGTCCATGTAATACCCCAAGAAGTGGACCATAACACAATGAAGTAAGTAGAGACACAGAGATCTCTGCACATGGCAGTCAAAGGAACCTTCCCTTTAAGATGAGGGAGAGTTACTCTTTTGTTCCTTTTCCAGCCTTGAGTAAGTTCATCTTCCTAAAGTAGTACAATTTTTGCTCTGTTGTTTCCTGGATTACAAATATCAGAAGCTCTTTTAAAAATTCTATGGTGGGAGCCTCATCATAGCTAGAGCTACTGTGTGCTGTATTAGCCATTAATGGTGGCTCCTAGTTGGTTACAAAGTTAGACTTGTTGGTATTAATTAGGGCTATAGTAGAACACAAGTGGAAAGAGATTGCAGACAGATACCCAACTTCCTCTGCTGCCACCTTGGGAAAACCAGTCAATTATTGTGTCTGGTTGAGACCCTTAGACCTGAATAGTCTTTCAGGGTTGTCATAGTACAGATGAAACTGCTTCCAGGATCTAGGCTATTCAACACTGAGTCTTGTGAGGGAATACAGCCTGACAACTCTTGTCTGCCATTGAATGGTGTCCATTAGCTGCCTTCCCTTTATCACTAGCTTTCTTCCCCTCTAATACATCTCTATTAGTGACACTAATTGTGTAACAACCTTAAATAGCTTCACATTGTCTCCAAGTTAAAACCCAAACATCCTGGCATCCACAAGGCCATTTGCGATTTGAACCCTGTCTTCTCAGAAACCGACTCACAACTTGGGTCCTGCCACTTGCCAGGTAACGAATCTCATCTGTAAGCCACAGCTCCCTTTTCTAGCTGAATATAGTATCTTTTAGTTAGTCCAGGCAGGAAAGTCTGTAAGACTCTTATCTCCAATACACTACCAGAAAAGCTGGAAAGTAGAGCTGTGGCTCAAGTGGTAGAATACTAGACTTGAACAAAATAAGCTCAGGGACAGTGCCTAGGTTCTGAATTAAAGCCTCAGGATGGAACACACAAAAAAATCTCTTACTTTATAGAGTTGTTATGATGGTTAAACAAGTATGTATGTAGTAAAGTGTTTGGCACAGTGTTAAGAATGTAGCAGTTGCCAGATGCCAGTAGCTCATGCCTGTAATCCTAGCTATGCAGGAGGCTGAGATCTGAGGATTGTGGTTCAAAGCCAGCCGGGGCAGGAAAGTCTGAGAGACTCATCTCCATGAATCATCAGAAAACCGGAAGTGGCACTGTGGCTCAAGTGGTAGAGTGCTTGCCTTGAGCTGAAGAGCTCAGGGACAGCGCCCAGGCCCAGAGTTCAAGCCCCATGACTGACAAAAAAAAAATGTAGCAGAGGCTCAATAAACATGAGTTGCTACTATTACTCTATCTCCTCTCTGTGCAGAAATACAGCCCTCTGGATTATGTCTTGGTTTCCTTAATTTCCCTGCCTTTGCACAATCCCCATGAAGTCAAGGAATTTGCCTTGTTCACTGCTGAATCCCTAGTGCTTCAAACAGTGCCTGACACTTCACAAGTGCTTAATAAAAGGCAGTCACTGGATGACTGCTGTCTGTTTGCGTGTAGCACTCGTTCCTTGCCCTCCAACTTGTCTGTCATGATAAAGGTCATATATCCCCTTCTCTGGCTGCTTCTCATCCTGGGCAGGGCCAAAAGCCCCCACAGCAGCTCCAAACATCCCTCTATTGAAGGACAATTCATTCTGTATGGAAGCATGTTTTCTTGAGGGCTCAGTCACCTGCTGCATATTCTGGGCAGAGCAGAAGCTCATCACATATTGAATCAATGAATGGATGGATGGATGGATGGGTGGATGAACAAGTATACAAAGAACACTGCTACCAAGAGGTAACAAGTAAAGATGTGTAAACTGATTATTTGCTTTAGGACATCTGTGGATCTCTTCTAGTCATCTTCCTCCCAGATATTGATTGACCAAATCTTCAGTCTCAAATCTCAGAGCTTAATGTTTCTCAACTTTTCCATGGGGAGATTGGTAGGGTTTTTTAGATACCTAGTCTTTCCATTGTACATACTATGAGTTAAAGAGTATTGTATTGCTCACCTGCTGAAATTTCCTATCTAGGAATGGACTTTGGAGTGTGTATAACTTGAGCGGGGGGTTGGGGGGGAAATGTGGTCCTCTCATAGCTGCACTGCCTCTAACTCGTATCCACTCTTGGTCCCTACATGCTACTGTACCTGAGTAACCGCATGCCTGCTGTGGCTCCCAGATAAACAGGTGTATCCTGATGTTGAGAACTTGGGATCACTTCTTTGGACTTTTCCATGCATTCAGTCAGGTACATGTCTAATTCATTTGGTTTCTGGACATATTTTGAGATTCCAGGACCTAAGGAAAGATATAAAAGGTGGTAATTTTTTTAAAGTATAAGCCAGGTTTTGGTGGCTCACCCTTATAATACTATCTACTCAAGAGGCCTAGATCTAGCCGGGCACCGGTGGCTCACACCTGTAATCCTAACTACTCAGGAGGCTGAGATCTGAGGATCACAGTTCAAAGCAAGCCAGGGCAGGGAAGTCCATGAGACTCTTATCTCCAATAAACACTAGAAAACCGGAAGTGGTGCTGTGGCTCAAGCGGTAGAGAGTTTGCCTTGAGCTGAAGAGCACAGGGACAGTGCCCAAGCACAGAGTTCAGAGGCTGAGATCTGAGAACTGCAGTTTTTGCCAGCCTGGGAAGACAAATCCAAGAGGGTCTGAACTCCAGATAACAAGAAAAAAAGCCAGAAATGGGGGCATGGCTTGTGTTGTAGAGCACCAGACATAAGCAAAAGAGCTAAGTAAAAGAGGTCCAAAGTTGAAGTCCTAGTACTATTACAAAAAAAGTATAGGACATACATTGACAATATTAGAGAAAAATATTGTATTTACTAAGAAAATACAAGGAAAAATAATTTCCTCATGTAAATATACATATATATGTATATATATATATGAATGAGGTGGTACTTAGAGAGTTAAGTCACTGGGCCTAACATTGGTATTAATTTTCAAATTTTGGATTAGGTCTGTCTGGTGTTCAGTAATTTTTCCACTAGATGGCACAATTTTATATTTAACTATGTAACAGTTTCCCAGATTTTCATATTAGCTACTCTATTAATTGCTTTTGGGTGATTCTTCCACAAATTTTTAATTTATAATACTAGTTACTAGAAGATTTAAGCAAAGATGATATTTAGAACAAAAATTAAAATAAGCACCAGCTACTATTGTCTCCAAATTGATGAGACCAGAGTCTCTTAGAGTATCAGACTTCTGGATAGTCTTTTCTTTTATCTTCCTACTTACTAAGTTACAAAATGAGTGGACTCCTCAGGGCATCAGACTGAAAAGACAGAAGTGTTGCTAACAAGCTTTGTAATCATGACTTGTGCCCTAAAATTTCTGAGGTGGAGTTTTTTTTTTCTCTCTGTTAAAAGAAACAGGATTTGAAGCCATGCCTCCTTAGTGACTTTTTCCACTCCAATCTCCTGCTTTCCTAATATGACTGTTATTCCAATTTTAGTGCAAAACTAACTGTTGCTAGGGAAAGATTCGAGCCAAGATTCTGCAAGCTTTTTGAAGTCAGCACTCAACATTTTTCTCTCACACTAAGATAAATATCACATGATTAATGCTTCATGGTGAGGGTTTCCTTTACAGATAATTATCTGCTCACAGATTAATCATAATGAGGAAATTATCTCTAAGCATGTGTTTTGATTCAGAAAATCTGGCTTTAAGTATTCAATTTTTCTTGAGGGGGGAAGCTATTGTCTTCATTAGTCTGAACACTCATGTACACATGGTCTGAGTCTCAGAGGAGAGACATCTAATGGATGAAAGAAGAGTTCTAAAACTAGAAGATAATCAATTTTTTAAAGGCCAATGAAATAAAGTACGGAAACCTTAAGAAAGTCAAGTGCTCTCTCCCTGTTGATAAGGCAGTTTCAAGAACATCAGCCTTCTCTTTCGAAGATTTTTTCCTCTTGTCTCCTCTCTACTATTAAGTTATAAAATTGGGGTAGACTTCACAGACCATTAGACTAAAAGTCAATTCTTTCTGAGATCTGGATTAACTGTCTGACTGAAAATAAACAGTAGGTTCCTCCCTCAAAAGGTGAAGGGAGACAAAGGTTAAAGTGATTATGGCACCTTATGTTGATGTAGGTGGTGCAGTTGGGGTACTGATGGAGGGGAGTGGTGAGAACCAAAGTGTCAACAACCCTCCATAGATTATAAATTGAAAAGAAAATTGTCTGGGAAAACAATCAGGATATAATGCAATGGTTCAAATTAGTGAGAAGCCTGGAATATAGTTAGGAAACCTGTATGCTTCACTTGGTTCTGGTGCTACTTACAAGGCAGTAGTCTTCCAGATTTTTGGTTTCTTTCCTGCAAAACAAGATCCCATCCCTAAGCATCAATGATCTGCTCGTTCTTGCTTATAGAGACTGTGAAGATGTTTGAGAACTTCACCAAGCTTCAGATTAGAGTAAAAGATGAGGACAGGAGCAGTTCTATGGATTTGGCAGCATTAGTATTACCTGGGAATGTGTTAGGAATACAAGTTTTCAGTCTTCTCCCTCAAATCTGTGAACTCAGAAATTTAAAATATTTGTGTTTTTAAATCCCAGTGGTTCTGATGCCATTTCTGAGACCTGCTGGCCCAGATATGGGTTTTAAGTTGGGCATGCCTTGTTTTAAACTAAAACTTTATCACTTACTAAGTTAACCAAGTGATGTAACCTTTCGATTTTGTTATCTTCATCTTTAAAAAATAGGAATACAAACCTCAGTAGGAAATTATGAAGGTGAACTGAATTCAATTCCTAATCAGTGCATTACATAAATGTGGGTGTGAATTAGTTACTCAATTATTGTATATGTATGGGGGAACAGGTTGCTGAGGATCAAACCCAGGGCCTCATACATACTAAATAGGTATTTATCACTTACATACACCTTCAGTCTCCCCACTATATAACTTTTTAATTTGCCTATTCTTCAAGGACTTGATCATCAACGATTGATTTCAATATTATTTTTTTCCTTTTTCTTTTTTTCCAGGGCTGAGGACCAAACCCAGGGCCTTGTGCACGCCGGGCGGGCGCCCTTCCGCTGGGCTAAACCTCCAGCCCCTGATTTCAGTATTATTTTATAATGACAATAGCAAATACACTGTGATCCTCACTTGACTTCCTGTCCCTGGAACTCCCTTTTCTCTTGTGTTCTACTTGCCAAATATCTTTTGTGTTGTCCCGATCTCTGTCTACCCCTCCTCTTCCCATCTTACCTTTCACTTTACATTCTTCTATCTGGCGCACCACTCCTGTGTCATTCTCCTTTTCAGCTGCCCATTTATAGATGTACAAGTTTGTGTGAGAAGAGCCTGCATCCAGCACAATCCCATACTGAGGACAGAAGAAAACTCTTATCAGTATCACATCATTCTTCTCCATATTCAGCTTGAAAAAGAAAGGGAATGCCACTGGGGAGGCATTTTAACTGAAGAGCATTGGTCAGTTTGGAACTGGAGTCACTCTAGTCATAAGATCTCCCAGGACCTGCATCCCTGGAGAACAGGGTTCTTAATTCCGGCTACACACTAGAGATGTTCAGGGTGAGGCCTGAGCAGCAGGGATATAGAGGCTTCCTAAGGGACTGTAACCTTCAGCGAAGATTCAGAGACTCCACTGAAATAGTTGAGACATTCGTGGAAAGAACTAATTCAGTAGTTCTCAAACTTGTCTACATAATGGAATCACCTGGAGAGCTTCAGAGGCTGAAGCCAATATTCCATCCCTGTGATGTAATGTGGCCTCAGCTTTGGAATTCTTTTTTTCCATACAATTCTAATGTGCAGACAAGTTTGGGGACCACTAAGTTAATCCACTGAGGGCCATGTAGGCATATAAATATCTTCAGTGAGTAAGTATAGAATTGTGAGGGTATGGGGTTTTTGTTTACTAGTGTCAAGTAATTGTACAAAGGCATTTCATTTTGACATGTTCATTTATACATACAATGTATCATGGTTTGCTTACCACTTCTTTTTTTTGGGGGGGGGTCCAGTCATGGGGCCTCAACTCTGGGCCTGGGCGCTGTCCCTCAGCTCTTCAGCTCAAGGCTAGCGCTCTACCGCTTGAGCCACAGCGCCATTTCCAGCTTTCTTCTTTCTGCTTATCTGGTGCTGAGGAATCGAACCCAGGGCCTCATGCATGCAAGACATTGCTTACCACTTCTGTCACTCTCTCTCATCCCTTGTTTCTCTATCCAACCAACAAGTTCCACTGTAACATTTCACACATGTACATATAGTATTTGGGTTGTATTAATCATCCTTCCCACTCTGTCCTACCCACTTCCACTAGTCCTCTTAGCCTGGACAGGACTGAAGTTATGTTTTAAAGAGAGAGAGAAAATTCTAAGTATATTTGCTTTTAAATTAAAATATAACTTTAAAATTTATTCAGTATATTTGGAAAGATATGTAAATGTTGTATTTTCAGATCTGTAAGAATGGAGGAGATCAAAGGACTCAGAAGGAAGGAGAAGAGAGAAATGGCATGAAGAACAGTTATAAAGTAGATGCTACACTATGTTGAAAATGAACTTTACAACTTCAGTGGTGGGGGGTAGGTAGTTGTGGAGGTAGGACGGAAGGGATGGTAAGGGGGAAACAAAGGAGAAGGCAACAATGCTCAATAGGACATACATTCATTACCTTGCTCATGTAACTAACCCCTCTACAGCATTTTTACAATAAAAAACATACAAAAAGTAGATGCTATCTTTATCCTTTCTGTATAAGTGAGGAGCTACAAAAAGGTTAATTCATGCAAGATATACAGCTAGTATATCTAGTATATATGTGAATTAGGGTCAGACTGAAGACCTCATGTTGAAAACCTAGTACCCAGAAACACAACAGCAAGGGCTAGGCAAGGGTTTTAGAATTGGTGCTCTTTAGAACATTTTTCTAGCCTCCACCAGGCTTACTGATACCCCGAAAGTAACCACCATGTTGATTTCTATCACCATGGATGAGTTTTGCCTGTTTCTGAACTGCAAAAAAGCGGACTCTTGGGGTGTGACTCCTTTAAGTCTCATTTCTTTCATTCTATGCCTATGAACTATATGGCTCATCCTTTTCCATTGCTGTGAGTATCTCATTATATGCATGCACTGTATTCTTACCCAGTTTACTGTTGATATACTTTTGGGTTGTTTCTAATTGGGGTATTGTGAATATAGCTGTCAGGACTATTCTTGTACATTTCATTTAGTGGAAATATCTTTAGGTCTTCTTTGAATATCTACCAGGAATAGATTGTCCAAGTGCTCATTTTTTAAATCAAATCATATGTATTTGCTTATATTCTTGAGCTTATTTGAAGGAAAATGCTATGGTTGATTAATGGCATTTGCATGGGCTTGTGATAATTTGGTGGCATATGCCATTTTTAATCATCTCTATAGTAGAGAAAACATGATTGAAGTGGGGGGAGAGCAAAAAGCAAGAAAAAGAAGAGGCACTTCTGAAATGTGAGCCAACTGACACACTTGGCTGCACATTTGAGCTGCACACTTCAAAGTGTGATCTGCCACCTGAAAATACTTAATTTGCCTATTGTATATATGTACATTATAATGAATATTGTGATATAGATGACATACATTGCCTTATAATCTAATAAGTCCCAATAACCCCTCTTATAATTTAATAAGACCTAATAACCTCCAGGGAGAAAAGACAAGAAGACTTAAGAGACCTCCCTTGACCATTAGTAGTAACAGCTAAAGGTAGTGTGCACATTTCACTAACACCCAGGAAGTATCACTGTGCAGAGCTCCTGAGGACCTTTGACCCTCCATAACTTCCCAGCATTCCTTGCCTTGATGTGCACAGCAGGAGTCTCTCTAGTAACTGGCACCATACCCTTGGAAAGAAAATGACCTCCATACTTGCTTTGGGCACAGCAAAGAAGTAAGCTGGACTGCTCTGCAGCTAGCTTGCAATGGAAGGAATCCAAGAAATGGCAGATGTGGTGCTACTGTGGGCAGTGAGAGATGCTGATGGAGGTGTGCAGTCTCTGGATCAGTGGGAAACCTCCCAGGATGCAGGAACAGCCTTCAGGGTTACCCAGTAGAAAACTCTATTGTTCCCTAGTGCAACCCCTGAATTCTTCCTGCCAGAAACTGTTTCAACCACAGTAGCTACAATAAAAGCAAGTCGGCAGCAGCATGCAGCCTTTATCTGGAACCAGGACGTTCTATTCTAACTTTGTTCTATTGCTTTGTTGCCATGAAAGCCACCCTTCCAGCAGAGTCAAGGAACCAGCCCTGCTTCCACCAGCCTGCTTTACTGGGCCTCACTCACACACTGAGGTAGTAGAAAGTTTGCTACATTTTGTGTGCAAGTTTCTAGGAAGGAAGTAGAGGGCCTTTCAGTGCAAGAATTAGGACATTTCTCCTTCTGTGACAACATACCAGAAAGCTAATCTGTTTAACTGTGTCATAGACTTTTTTTTTTAAGTTTTTAGTTTGATTGAAGAGTCTGCCTTCCATGGCTACAAAGTGCACCTAAAGCCCAGAGAGCCTATTCTTTTGTTCTCTTTCCAGCACTACAGCATTCTTCCAGCAGAGGTTCCAAAAAGCAAAAAATAAACCATCCAAGAAGGTGGGGGAGTTGAAAATCTTAACTACTTGGGAGGAAAAGATACAGAGGGATCATGGTTTGAGGACATCCCAGGCAAAACGTTAGCAAGATCCCATCTCAATCAATAAGCAAAGTGTAGTAGAGTACAGATGTAATTTCATCTATGACAGGAGGATTTTGGTCAGAAGTTGGCTTAGGCAAAAACAAGAAATTTTATCTGAAAAAATAAAGCAAAATATGTGGGGGAGGGAAGCTGATTGTGTGAGTCAACTACATGGTAGAGCAGAACAATTCTCTGAATTCAGACTCAAGTACTGAAAGAAGAAGTAGGAGAAAAAAAAAGGAGGGAGGAAGATGAGAAGTAGGAGGAGGAGCAGCAGCAGCAGTTGTTATTTGGGAGATGTTCCTGCTTTTACTGCTTTCTGGATTTACCATCCACTACCTAGTGAATACCTCAGAGAAGTCTGCAATGAAGAAACCCAGTGTTTCTCTGAACCTCATTTTAAAGCATTTTGAAAAGTGATATGCCCTTCATATTAAAGAAAAATCAAAGATTAAGATTCAAGTGTGGGGAAGAGATCTGATATTCCCTTAATATTATCATTTCAATATGATTTTGTATTCTAAGAGCTAAAAGTTTATTAAACATTACACAAAAGATAGAGGGGGAATGATGTTTAAGATTCTACCTGGGCATTTTATTATTAATAAAATACTAAGCTATTTTTTTACATATTTTCTTGTAGTCTTTTAAAAATACTGTCATCTTATAGTACATGCAAATTTGTCCTAAGCTAGTTCAGAATGGTACATGTGATTTTACTGAGCATAATAGAGCTCCACAAGCTATGCCGCAGGAAAGGAAGTGGTCTGGAAGAGAGAACAGTAGAAATGATCTTTCTTGGCAGGAGTGCCCACAAGTGCAGGGGCCCTTGTGAAGACCGGAGATACAGGCTCTTATATGGAGTATATATGGACTCAGGGCAGATGCCCCCTAGGATGGAAGTAATTCTACCTGCATGAATGTCAGAGTGCCAGCCTTCTGGATAGGTCTCTTAGATGTGGAGAAAGAGAAAACTGGAATGTCAGGTGGCCTGCTTATGTCTCTGCAAGAGGTAGGACATTTAACCTTCTCATATGAGTCTCTTCATTCAGAAAACAACTCCAGTGGCATAGGCTGTTTTCAATTATCAGGTCACAAAGCTTCTGTTCTAGGCCTTTGCCTAGAAACTCCTTTTCCTGGGATCCTGGACTTCTCTAATCCCTTCACATGAGGAGTTCATTAGAATGCCTATATTTTTCCTCTAAGGAAATAACTGACTACATGGTGTAATTATATATTATAATGACTATTTAAGTTCCATATTCTATATTCTCTGTTAAGAGTGTAAGCTATCTGAGGGTAGGTCTACTTAGGCACAAAGAAGGAATGAATGAATGGGAAAGAATAGAACTATATGATTCTTAATCCCATCCTAACTGGTTAGAATTTACAGTCTAGTATAAAGTAGTGGTAAGACTATGGTTTGAATGCTTCCTCTTCCAATACTCACGTGTTGAAAACTTAATCCCCAATGCAATCATGTTAGGAGGTGAGGCCAGTTGGGGTTGTTTAGGACATAAAGGCTCTGCTTTCATGCACAGGACACAGTAGAATAGGCTTTGGTGAATGGGTCTGTTCCACATAAGGCACTAGAATAAATAAGTACTATGCAGCTGATACCCCATGTTATATAAGGCACTTGAGCATCCACAGATTTGACTATCCATAGGAGAAGTTCTGGAACTACCCCCTGAAACAGAGCCCCTGAGTAACAGCTCTACATTTATCCCCATGATATGTAGGATGATCAGGGTACTAATTTACAAAACCTTAACAATAAAGAAGTTTCCGTTTTTGTCCCTTATTTTAGATTTTGTAAAATTTTTCATGATGTGGATTAGTCATTCAATTTAGTTTTGAATCACTTCAGAGATATTTTTAATAATACTGGAGAGCAACAATGTCCAATAGAACTTTCTGCAGTAATGGAAATGTTCTGTGTCTGTAGTATCCAATAGTTCATTCCAATATAATTCAGAAATCTTACTAAAATTAAAGTGTAACTTTGACAAATGGCTACTTTTCATATATAAGGTTACCTTTGTGTAAAATAAGTTGGTGATATTGCTATAAAGATTCACTTTAACACCTATGGCTGCTCTTCATGCACTCACACTGAAGACCCTGTTCCATTTTGCCAGGGCAACTTAACAACACAGAACAGACTTGATGAATGAAGGAAAGCCACCCACGACCACAGTATTCACTGGGAACACAGAGCTCAAGTGTGTCATGGGTTTTGCCTTCTAGGCAGGCCTGCTTTCCAATGATGCAATACCAAACATGCAAAAAGGTCAAATCAAGAAAGCAATGGTGTGCTTTTGGAGCTGATAAACAAATAGCAAAACCAAGATGTCATGAGGCTTCCATTGTGAGTGAAGTTTTGCCAAGAGAACCAAAAGCACTCAACAGCGAATGGAAAGAGAACACGGCCAATGTAACAGAATCAGCTCTGTTCTGACAAGGCTGTACATAGCTGTACATAGCCCACTGGGTTGAACTTGTATGACAAAAGGACATCAATATAACCCCATGGCTCTTCTACACAGCAAGTGATTTGAGTGTGTGGGAAAAGTTTCACAAGTCTGGCATACACATGCATCTTTCTACTCTTACAGAAACAAGAGAATGTATTTCTATACATATATGCCATGACCTCCTAGTTAGGATAACATCTGGGTATATAACTACCCACATGTCCATATGTGCTCATTAGTATATTGGCATCATCTGAACACTTAAAAGACAGGTTTATTGTCATTTCAATGACATTTTAAATTGGTGTGTTTACAATGGAGTGAAAATGGATGGCACTGAAGATCATGGTAAGTGAAATAAGCCAGATTCAGAAGCATAAATATTGCATGTGTTCTCATTATGGAATCTAGAGTTTTTAAAACATGAAAGTAGAAGGGAGGCTACTTGAGGGCACATAGGGTTTGACTTGCCTTAACATTTTCTGGCAATGGTTTGTTCTGGGTCATCCCCACAGCAATCAACGCTATCACAGCTATGATAGAGGAGAAACCAAGGATGACCAGGATGTTTTTGGAGCAAAATTTCTTCAATTCAGAATCTAAAACCAAAATCAAAAGACAAATAATCAACAGGAAATCGATAAACAATGACTTTCCTCACTTTTATGTCTGGTTTTGTGATAGCTATTTGGAGACACCAGAAACACTTTTTAAAAGGCCAATCTTTATCTGTGGGGCACTTGCAAAGTAATCTGGAAATCACTCAAGAACAAAGGATTTGTTCGTACTGTGATAAAGGTCAAGACTGTGTCAGTTTTACAAAGGAGAATGGACAAAATTAGTCCACTGATCAGATATGGAACAAAAGGGAAGTCTCTCAAATTGGGCATTTGTTTAGTAGGTAATGTAAATCTATCAAAAATACAAGTAACACAACAACCAGGATTAACCTCATTTAAAAAAACTTACCATAGAATATTTAATATTTTTAAAAGTATCAGGTATATTCATAAAACACCAAATCCTACTACTCCATGACATTTTCTGGCTTGATAATACCTTTTGCATTTCAACCACCCTTACATGTTAGTAAACTATTGGTAATGGACTAGAACCTGAGGAACTATGACTATTTCAGGGCACCATTTATATTATCTTTTCTGCCCTTAGTCCCACCCTGTCAAGGGAAAGAAAAACTCCTGGAGAGAACTATTGAGAAGTTAGCTTGATTGAAACAGATCATAGAGAGAAAGTAAACAGGAAATTGAGTGGTTACACCATTCTTGCCACTCTGACATCTTAAACTCTTCCTCATTCACCTCCCAAATTATCCTCAAACTTCTTAAGTTTTTTTTTTCTTTTTTTTTTCCAGAGCTGAGGACCAAACTCAGGGCCTTGCTCTCGCCAGGCAGGAGCTCTTCCCCTGAGCTAAACCCCCAACCCCTCAAACTTCTTAAGTTTTGAGGAAGAAAGATAGGATAACATAAGCAAGAAGCATATAGAAACTAGATGGGTTCTTCAGAATAGTCTTCACTAAGTACACAGGATGGGATTAAAGCAGCTGAAAGAGGACCCCCAAGTCTCTCTTCCAATTTTTCCTGGTCTGCAGTACCTAGCTAAGGGCAGATGATGAAATTAGGGATTTTTCCTCATGCTTTTAAGCAAAAGCTTGCAATTTATTCAGAAGACTATAATTGTATAAGTCTCCAGTTATCAATTCCCAGAATCTTGAAGCAGTCTTTACTAACAGATCGAATAATAAAAACATGAGGATAAAATGTCTTATTACCAGGCTGGGAATGTGGCTTAGTGGTAGAATGCTTGCCTCGCATGCATGAAGCCCTGGGGTCAATTCCTCAGTACCACATACACAGAAGAAGCCAGAAGTGGTGCTGTGGCTCAAGTGGTAGAGTGCTAGCCTTGAGCAAAAGAAGCTCAGGGACAAGTGCCCAGGCCCTGAGTAAAAGCCTCAGGACTAGCAAAAAAGAACAAAAAAGGAAAAGTCATTTTAGTGATATGTTATCTATTGCTCCCAAATGAAGAAGGGCCAATGAAATATACAACACTTGTGCCCTTTCCCCCTTTGCCTTCCAAAATGACTTCCATTTTGTTCAGACATCTGATTCTCCCCAAGCTTAGAGATGGACCTAATTTATCATCAGTATAACATCCTGTCTCACCAGTGATTGTTTCCACAATGGGTAAATAGAGTCTATGAGAACTTAAAGTATCATGGGCCATGAGTTTACAATTCAGTTAGGGAGACAGATAAACGAGAAAAGTAGTACATGAGCAAGTGATTTCAGATCATGATAAGGGCTAAGAAAAAATTAAAGCCAAGGAATGTTATAAAGCAAGTGCAGCAGAGCTAGGGATGGGGAAAAGGGAATTAGACTAAGAAAAATGTCAGGATAGGTGACACTGGTGATAAGACCTGGATGATAAGAAAAAAGGTGAGAAAGAATAGAAACATATCCAGAAAGATGGACTAGAAACTTCAAAGGTCCTAAGTTGGGAGCTAGCTTGATGGAACTATAATTGTTCCTTCCTTCTCCTAATGAAAATATTTGCTAACTCCTTATGATCACTAAGCAGTAGGGTATACATTTTTCCACATTTGCATTTCCAGAATATAATCAAGTCTTTCATAATCTTATTTCATTTTTCATACTTGTATTTACTGAAAAAATTGTGCCCTAAGAAGCTCGTAGCAAAGTCATTCCATTATTTTTGTGATGGCAACAGCAGAATAGTGATTGTGTAATTACATTTTGGCAGGCTCGGGTAGCACACAGCATTAATACAAAAACCCTTGTGTTAACACTATGGCAGACAACTATGCTGTAACATGTAACACTAATCAATTACAATCAAAGTTTCCTTTTTTAAATATAAGCCATCAAAAGTAGTTTAAAACCTGTTAGTCCTTCTGCCTGTTCATTTTATTCTATTTCTTGTTCAAGATCTGATACAAAAAAGAATGTATAGGAATGTACATTCATAATTTTCAAATTCTTTATTATAAAAATATGGCTTTTGTTTTCATTTAATCTGAATTGTCCAGAGAGGAGTAACTAAAACCCTGTTTTGTTTTAAATGAAAGACATGCTTGATAGTTGCGCAGGGCTTGATCACATGCAGGAAACCAGACTCTTCGCAGGAAGTGGTGCTAGACAGGGAGGTGTAAGTGGACACATCCGGGCATGCTCATAAAAGGGGAACGACTCAGATGGTCCTTCCACTTCTTATACCCGCAGAGCTCTTTCAGATCCAGCTATTGCTGTGGTCAAGTTTTATTACTGAAAATTCACACTCACCATCTTTCCCATAAAGAGCCTCTTTTGGACTCACAGAAATTGTGACTTCTATCATACAATGTAAAATGGTATTTCAGGAAACAATTTCAAGAAATAATTTTTCCAAAAATATTAAATTGAATACTATTTTCTTCCTTTGAATTGGATCACTTTACTGGGGAATTAAATGCTGTCATCCTTTTTCTTTTTCTTCTCAATGTGACAAGTGAAAGGGTTTCTCTGTTTAAAAGGGTGAACTACAGCCAGGTAGTAACTTCAACTTTGAGAAAACACAGATTGATTCAAGCCAATTAGCTACATCAGAAGCAAATTTTTTTTTAAAAAACCTGATTTTAAAATTTTTCTAAATCATCATGATGTTCAGTTAGAATGTATAATATCTTGAAACATTATTCCACCTATAAATAGCTTTGGGAAACTGACACGTTGTGAGTTTCAGATAAAAGCAACAGGATTTTACTTGGTAGATCTAGTTCAAATGACTAAATTAAAATTGTTTCCAATTTCACACTTAGACTTAGCCTTATTAGAAAACAGCCAATGCTGGACACTGGTAAGTAAACATCAGCAAAGTGCTGTGGTCCTTTTAGTGTTGACAGTGAAGCTCAGAGGGACTGGTCTCAATTTGGTTCCACCCTTCCCCCAGCTCCTAGAAATGGCCTGCCACCTTCCTTCCTCTTCACCAAAGACCTCACATGTAGGGGCTTTATAACCCTTTCTTCATTGAGCAGAGTACACTGTACTTATAGTCTTAAACTAACATGTTAAAACCCTTTTGCACAAAAGATTCTTATTTTCTTTATCTCAGGTTCTCTTATTCCAACTTCTTCTATGGTGATATTTACCACTCTCACCCCTAGTTCTCATCACCACTGCCTCTTTTCTGATCTGTAACATCCCTTTCTGGGGACTCCCACCCTTCCTACTTCTCTTCCCTATCAGAATCCAGCCTTTGATGGCTGAAGAGAAGATCTTTTATAACTGGAAGCTCTTCCTGACTGAGACCCTATGGGAGCTCCTTGCTCTTTGCTCTGTCCAATATCATAATGCTTGATACTATGATATATGATACAACAAATGGAAGTAAGCTTCCTGAGGACAGGGGCTTTTTCATGGACTTATCCCCAAGTTGGGTGAATGAATGAATGAATTGTGAGTGAATGAATAAATTCACTAATTTTTCTTTACTTGTAATTCCATTCCTTTTATTCCCTACCAAGTATTTTTTTCTTTGTCTCCTTCAATATCAGGCTTATTAGAAGGGTACATTCCTCCCCACTCCCCAGCTCATTCATTTTTCTCACAGCTCAATCATTCCAGTTGTCCACTATTCGTGTGCTACTTCTACAAACTTAATGATTTGAACTGAAGTTTTGTAGTGCTATGGTTACTGAAGAGGGGAGTATGTTTTGTTCATTCTTTCAACTAGTCAAAAATTATTGAGTGCATTATACTATGGGCTCGATTTGTCACAGGCATTGAGACACAGCTGGAAACAAATAAATGTCCTCATCTTCATGTTATTTCTATTCTAGTTTGGAGGAAAATGCAATAAACAAGATAAGTAAGATAAATGGAATGTTGCATAATTGCAAGTGCTAAGGGAAGGGAAAAGAAAGTCGAAGAAAAATGGGTTGATTAGACATGGCCTCTGAGCAGGTCATGTTGAGAGTCAATAAAATGCACACCTTTGGTAAAGAGCATTTAATGAAACTGCAGATGTATATGCAAAAGCCCTGAGGTAATATAGTGCCTGGCTAGAATGCTGGCATGAACTATATTAGCAGTAATAAGGGGAGAAAAATAAAGGATGGTCAGAGGGGTAACTGGGTGCTTTGCTCCACATAGCTTTTAAAGTCCCAGTGAGGGCTTTGTCTTACTCTATGTGATAGTACTTATTCAAGAATAATTTGTATAATTTATATCCAGCACGTTAGAGGTAAACAAGAACCATCAGGAGCCACTGAAATTCATGGACAGTGAGGGTACAGTCTTTATATATATATACATTTGTTCTTTGATTTCTTTTTTTTTTTTGGGGGGAGTGTGTGGGGGGAATGGGAAGATCCTGTATTTCCCCTGTTTCTGCAACCAGTCTCTTGGTAGAGTCTCTGGTCTGCTTACGGTGTTTGGTTTTCCTGTGACTTGATTGGTTTCTTTTTGGGGGGGGGTTCTGGTCGTGGGGCCTGAACTCTGGGCCTGGGCGCTGTCCCTCAGCTCTTCAGCTCAAGGCTAGCACTCTGCCACTTGAGCCACAGCGCCACTTCTGGCTTTTTTCTTTT